AAAATATGATATTTTTGACAAATTTTCACTTAACCATAACATACGGTTTTTTAGCCATGACATACGACGTCGTATGCGATGGTTTATGGATTTTTGCTACTTCAGACTCAAAACGAGGCTAAGTGTCAACATCGCCGGATCGTTTGGAAATTCGAATTAAATAACTTAATTTCCGACGATTCTGATGATGACTTTAACTATGGAATAAAAAGAACACTGCACTCTCTCGCTACGCTCGCTCGTGCAGATATCATATGATTATCCATTCGTGGATAAAAATCATATCACTCATAAATCATAGGATATCCTCTATTTATCCCACGGTTGCAAGGATATAGATCGAATATCACATGAAGATATATTTGATATGTGGATCAAGATATCATATTTTAGCAAAAAATTCACAAACCATCGAATATCACTTTTAAACTATCGAATATCACGTCTTAAAAAGTGATATTCGATGGTTTGAAAAGTGATATTCGATGGTTTGAAAAGTGATATTCGATGGTTTCGATTTTTTCAAAAAAAAATTCTTTTTACATTTCTTAATTATTTTCAAAAATATTTTTAATAAATTTCAAAATTTCAAAAATTTTTTTCACAATTTTTTCAATTCTTTTTTCAAATTTTTTCTCAAATTATATTTTTCAACTTTTTTCGCTGATGATGATTTCCCATGGGATAAACGGACAATCCTATGGTTTTTCAAAAATATCAATTATATCCACTCATGGATACAAATATCTTCACTCATTTGCTGCGCTCACTCATGAAGATATCAATATCCACTCATGGATATAAATGATATTTTTTCAAAACCATAGGATATTCCTATAGTTTCCCTTTGAAGGATTAAGGATACATGGATTAATGCATCAAATTTCCTGAAAATTAAAATAAATAGAAAAAGATAGCTAGCGAGCGGTTTGAAGGAATGAGATTTGATTAAGTGCTTTTTAAGATTAGTCTAGACCCATTACATATAGTTTCAAATTTAGAGGAAAAGTATTTTCATAAGAAAAAAATGAACACATATGACCTTATATGAATTTTGAAACCCTTGCTAATATCACAGTCACAGGGGTTAGAAATATGCCAAATCAATGATTTTAGATCTCTCGAAGTAAGTAAACTCATGTTTTGTAGTTTATGGGATTGACCAGGACTTTTGTCCTGTGGCTGGATGACATCATACAATATGACAGGCTTCAAAAGACTACATGTACCACTGGGGGGTATCGTGATGCAACAACACCGTGTTGTTGCATCAAGATGGCCAGACTTCCGGTGATAGATTTTCGTACGATGCTTTGTTTTTCCAATTTACACCCATTTCTAGGACGAGTTGCTCAATAATCATACACATGCAGTTAGCGCATGATCTATATTTAAAAAAAACTGTCATTGGTATACATGTAGCTTCATCAAGAAGCGATAAATTCGTGGTTTTAATTCTTCACTATTGATGCAACAACACCACTCTGTTTCTTATCGATGATGCAACAACACCAATGTGCTGATGCAAAAACGCCAATATAATGTATCATTGAACAACAAGAGAAACTGTTTTATGTTACTCGAGTCTCTAGCCAATACTTGGCTAGAGGGGATTCATCTGGAATACTGTGAACTCTATTTGAAAAAAGCTGCCGGGGTGTCATAAATTTATTGAATATTTTAAAAATCGCCAGATAAATGAATCATTAATCAAACCGGACCCAGCTCGGCTCCTTGATGAGATATGACATGATTTCATCAGGATTTCGTCTAAAATTAAAACAAAATGGCTCCAAGAAAAATGGCGATGTTCGAAAACTGGACGAAATGTCGTTACGTCTGACATTAGTAACTGGCTGTAAATTCTAAATTAGCGATCCAGAAGATGTGAACTAATACACTGATCACTTTGTGTGTGTTTTGGAATTTTTGGTGAGGTAATAAGACCAAAACTCGCAATTCAAATTGTGATGTGGAAAAATGGCGGACATACGATTTCAAATTTTATGATTACGACATGACCAGTAGTTCATGCAGGAATATATCTGTACTGGAAGGCCACGATACAGTGGCCTTAGAAGAAGGTAAGTTTTATGTTCTGTTTACAGGTGTAGGTCGGGACATGAATAAAACGCGTGAGTCAGTGGTCCATGAACGAAACGTATTTTGTTTGGTTTCTTTGTCTATATCAAAGTTAAAAGGATATACAAGGCAAACTAAATAAAGTACAGAATCCCCGGGAGGCAATCTCATTGATATTGTATCTGAAAAATAAAGATTATACATACATGCCCTTGATTTACCGTATGGAAATTGCTTACAAATAATTAATATAATTTTGGAAAGACAACAGATATCAGTCATTTTGTGTTGTTAGTACCTCAATTGAAATACTCAATTCTGATTGGTTGATGAGCGGTCAACAAAATGTATTGTTAGTACCTCAACTGAAATACTCGATTCTGATTGGGTGATTAGCGGTCAAAAGTATGTACTGTTGACCGCTACTAGGTACTGTTGACTGCTACTTCTGAAAAAAAGTTTCTGTAAAACTGTAAACCTTGAAACTAATGTTGACCTCGACCTTCGGTCTCTGTCAACAGTAGTTTTTCGGTTTACAGTCTCAGTATACAATTTTGCCGGTTGACCTTTGGGGAGGTCAACAATTGTAAACTGTTGACCCCTATTTTTGAAAAATTGTTTTTTAATGTTAACATTTTTTAAATTTTGAAAAAATAAGTTGTGTAAAAAATTACAAGTATTCGACGGTTTGGGGATTTTTTGCTAAAATATGATACCTTTATATATGTTCACGTGATATCCGATTATATATTCGTCCAATTATTATATTATTTGGACTTACAGAACAATTGTCAACCTCTCTTTTCGGTCAACTGGCAAAAGTGTCCTCGACCTCTGGTCTTGATCAACAGTACTTTCAAGGTTTACAGTATCGGTACAATTTTGCCAGTTGACCTTACAATTGTATATTATATCCTTCAAATTATTATATTCTTCGGACTAACAAACTATTGTCAACCTCTCTATTCGGCCAAAGTGTATACCTCAACAGTAAACCCTGAGAGTACTGTTGACCTCGACCTCCGAACTTTCAAGGATTACAGTATCGGTATACAATTTTGCCAGTTGACCTCAAGAGAGGTCTACAATTGTATATTGTATATCCTTTGTTATCCAACCCAAAGTATGATGTCATATATCAAGTTGAAGAATTGGGAGTTTACGCCATCCAGGAGTTGTACATCGTTCTCAAGAGTTGTATGGGATGAGTGTTGGTTTAATGATATTGCAGTTATACAATGCTATTATATAAAGGTTATTTACTGAGAGGGATTTAAAATTGGTTTTATTCCGAGAGACAATATGATATTTCCTGAGGGCCCGGGATATCTGGGATAACTGTACCCCTATCAATTTACCTTTTTGGGCCCTTAATCTTATCACTTTTGTTTACCTTTTTACTCAGTCGGAGAGAAGGAATCCAAAGAGAGCAATACTCGTAATTCTACATGTGGGTCGTGCAAGATTTCCATTAAACGTGTAACTAAACGGCCTCTCTAATAAAGTCAATTAGACGTTTTTACACGTTGGCTCTCCAAATTGGAGGAAATAAAGAATCATATCATATTATATCATAGATGAAGCAATCATCCCATCAACATAAGGTCACGAATGTCACAGTTAAGCTGTTTTAGTTATAATTTGATAAACAGTGGTAACGTACATCTACTAGTTTATCACTGTTTCAAAGATGGATGACAGATAATTTCCAATAGCTCATCATGTTTACCGAGAACGAAAGATGTTTGTCCACCATTTTGAATGATACTGGAGTCAGGGTCATCAAGCTATGGAACAGTGGTTTATGAAAATAGATTGGGTTACTAAAGCTTGCCATGTTAAAGGCGATTGAACTATGTTATAGAACAACGTCCAGTACATTATAATATTTAAAAGTATTTTTTGAAAATACATATAAAGGATCTTCGCCTGCAGGACGTGTATTTTGAATGCCTTGAGAAGATATGGGTAATGGGTAACGGTGTTGCAATAGTAGCATTTAAAAATCTGTTCCTCTCGAGATTTATGGTCTTCTGAAATTATACTATTAATTGGTGTTGCTGCATCATTGCTCAAATCTAGAGGAGTGTTGTTGCATCTTCGATTAGGTGTTGTTGCATCAATAGTGAGGAACTAAAACCGTGAACTTATTGCTTCTTGGTGATGGTACATGTATACTAATGACAGTTTCTTTAAATATAGATCGTGCGCTAACTGCACGTGTATGGTTATTGAGCAACTCGTCCTAGAAATGGGTTTAATTGGGGAAACAAAATATCGTACGAAAATCTATCACCGGAAGTCTGGCCATCTTGATGCAACAACACGGTGTTGTTGCATCACGATACTCCCCAGTGATGTACTGTACATGTACATGATATGATTCATTGGCATACTGTATTGATATCACTTGAAACATAAAGTACATGTGATTGCCTTCACTTTTGTTACATTCTCTTCTCCCATATTTACTAGATCTTAGAGAAAACGATCATAGAGCTAAGCAATAGTGTATCATCGTAAAAATACAAAGACCCTCTTTATGACGTGTTTAAACAAATGTTAGAATCCTAACCGACCTTCATCCTACATCCAATGACATTTTATGGAATAAACTGGTCATCACTTTTGACAATCATACCTATGCAAAATGCATTCAAAATTAATGTACACACATATATTTAACTTTAAAAAAAGTGTATGTTTATTATTTGTACTTCAATGACAGTTTTCATAACACTGAACCTTGAAACAGGAAGTGAATGTCAGGTTTGGATTTGTGCCTCTAATATAATTGCTACAAATTACATGACAAACTGTATGACTAATTTCAAATAATAAACGATAAATAAATAATGATTTTCGAGTAACAAGAAGGTAATCTACAAAAGTTGGTGTAAACATTGTAGAGTTTTTACCTGCCGACGAAGTTTTCCAGGACAGAACTTTTGCCAGCACTTTGGCTTCCAACGACGGCTATTTGGGGCAAATCCAACGCCAACGATACCCCAAGCGTAGCAAACGCATCCTGCAGTCTATTGACTATGGGGATGAGTTGTTCCATCCCCTGATTTCCACTCATTTTGGCAGTTTTCTTTACAAACTGTGCATGTATTCAAAGTTCGCCTCCTCCAATTTTCAAATATGGCGAAAATATATCCATATGCGCATGCGTAATTGATCGCTTATACCATTGATCAATGACACGGCTGCGAACGATTTGAAGCGTATGCAACATGGCACCCTCAAGGATGGGGATTGCATTGAAAAACCCAGTCGGCCTAAATCAGTCTTAACAGCACTACTTAACAGTGGGTATTTTTCCGGACTTGTGATTTAACAACGATTTGCACTTGTTTTGTAAGAGAATGGAGTCGTCAGGATGGAACAAAAGGCAAAAGGTCCCGGCAATAAGTGACGCCGTCTCCAGTCCCCGGGCTCCAGTCTATACAAGTCCGATACAAACGAACACAACGGCTTGACTTCTAGTCTTCTACCTAAGATATTCTTCTTCGATCATACTACCCACGGTTCTACTTTGGGGATCATTCCATCATAGTTCATGGTAATTGTCATTAATTGACAAAATGCAAGAAATTTGCCGAAATCTGGAGTGACCAATCCATTCTAAGCCTACACCGTGGAACAATATTCACGACTTTTAAGATCGTGTTTATATTTTAACTATATTTATCTTCAAATAGAGACTAAAGCGGCATTTCATATAAAATCGAAACGTCAACCCAGTGTACGCACAAGTTGCCCTATACAAATGCATGTGTAGTTTTCTCACATAAATAATCGTTCGGTTACAGTGTTTACTTAGTCAGTTACATATACACATCACATATACGTGGGGTGATCAATCAGTAATGGACGCTTTTTTACTCGGATGCTTTTTATAGACCAATACCTTCGATTTTCTTACCAGTGATACATCATATAATTATCTATCAACTCTGAAGATTTGAAAACAAAACATGTTACATATTTTGATATATCTTTATTTCCATGAAGGAGGATAGGTACCCCGGGACCGACGTGACGTCAAACATTCTGAAGCTATTTTAGCTTGTTTAACATGCAACGCAGTTGAATGCAGGCTGAACAAAACAAACCATTATGGTCATGAATTACCCCATTTTGTTATGCCATAGTTGATTTTGAATATTTTATCATCACTATGTAGCATTAATGCCACATTCATTCTAAAGGGCCCTCTACATAGGTTCCACCAAGTGCTACATGTATACAATTCCTCATCCTCTTACCTCAAGATTGTGAGACAAGGCTGAATCCATTCTCTGACATGGTAGCAAGATGTAGTTGCACAGGTTGTTTTATTTCATCAATGTCAATAAACCTGCGTCCCTTCCCTATAGAAATAAGTAGTATAGGAATAAATAAGTCACACGTGGGCAGATCTGGACAATACGGTGCATTGGCCAAGGGCTCAATTTTGAGGTCCAGGGATATTGTTTTCTGAATATTTTGAGATCTGTGGGCAGGTGCATTGTCCATATTGAGTAGGGTGTTTCCTTTTCTCACCAACCCCTTCTTCCAACATGCTTACCCAAATTGACCTGCAAACCCCGACCATACAACACTCTGACATCACAATACTTGCTGTTTGTGTGTTACCAGTCAGCAAAATATTTTAAACAACACAATACTTGTTGCATATAAAAAAGTTTAAATCTAACTGAAATTTTCCAAACTGGCTAAAAACTGAATATGTGACGCAAATGTCGGTCCAGGGTACCTGTACCTCCTTCACGGAAATAAGGATATATCAACATGTATTATATATTTTGTCTTCAAATCTTCAGAATTGATAGATAATTGAATGATGTATCACTGGAAGGAAAATTAAAGGGATTGATCCATAAAAAGTATCTGTGTAAAAAAGCGTCCATTACTTATTGATCACCCCTCGTATGTGCAATATGCCATTGATAGTTATATAGCTAGTTTTCTATGATCATATTTTAATGACAGGCTCGTTTCGTAAATTATTTGGAGCTAAAACATGTATGACACACATCATTTTCTTCAGAAAGCATTATATTGTGCATCATTCAATAAACATGAGTACAATGCACGGTGTATAACCCAAACGCTCCTACATGCACGACGGAGCGTTTCATTACTGAAATTAAACAAAGAAACGCTCCGGAGTAGGAAAACTGACTGGCGGGAATGATGAGCCGTCTGACGATTTCCCCAATAATGAGAATAAGAGGTATGAGTTACATATTTCGAGTATACCATTCGATGGGTGTGATATTCATGTTGTACTTGGCTGACTGTTGACGTTTGAAGCAATTAGGAAGAGCTGTACGAAGCAGTATAGTTATCAAAATTCAAAAACGTATTTGTCATTCTACCGGTCAAAACCCCTTTTGTCGATACATGTGATTAGTTGAGCTAAGATTAGAGCACCAACGTATATTTTAGTCAAATTCCAATGCTTCAACGCACCATACATTATCGTAATAGTGATTTGATGACCGAAAATCCAGTCTTAAAAATGATGACATTCTCATATTCAAGAAACGCTCCGATCTGGTTAACACAGTGAACTGGAAACGCTCCGGTAGTCTAGATCAGTTTAGGAAATATATAGCTTGCCTTTTCTTTTCAGGAAGAGAAAGAAAAGATCTATTATACCCCTAGGCATCAATAGAAGAAAGATTAATTCACATATAAATTTTCGTTTTTTTCTATAGTTATATGATTTAGCACATATGTAGGCATGACACCATCTAATGTAGGCTTAAATCAGCTAGTTGCACGTTTAGCACCACCAGGTTCAGATGTTTCAATTTGCCTAACAAGTACAACACGTTTTTGAGAGATAGATTCGATTCGAAACTCTTCTCTTATAATCTGAAAATTATATCAAAACAAAATGGTAAGAGCATTTCTAAAATTGTGTTCTAAATCGACAGAGCGTTTCGAGGAAAACAAGCGATTTCTCGAGAACAAGTAATGGATTTGGACTGGGATTTTAGGAAATGAGAATATACGAGTTTGTGATCTACTACTTTAACAGAAAGATTAACGTTTTCATAGAAATACTAGTTTAATTCGTAATTTGTGGTCAAATCGTCATCTTCAGATTCGTTCGATCTACACTACGGAGCTTTGATCAAGCAAATAACAGTTTACCACCAGAAGTTGAATAAATCAGATCTTTGCTCACGGTATTGTTCATCGAATGGTACATAATATTTCACCATAACATATGATATGTAAGAGAAACAAGAGGAACAATACTTACGGTCATAGTGGAATCTTCATTAGCCGCCATTTTATTTCTCTCCGGAGCGTTTCCGCGTAAATGAAACGCTCCGTCGTGCATGTAGGAGCGTTTGGGTTATACACCGTGCAATGATTCCGGCGTTGACACCAACGTGAAATTGCAAATCTCCCGTTCTAAACACAGCTCTGAAGTCGATCGCGTATTTGAAGGAGACGCTTGTTTTGAAGTAGCCCTTGTTTTGTATGCGCGCTATAAGTACAGTATATACATGTACATTGTACATTATTGTATTGATTCATTGGCTATTTGCGTTCACGGTTACGTTGTGAAAAATATCGCTAGCTTAAATTCTCTAATATTACGACACGGACTCGAACATGTCTTATGTCATTTAATGATTTACGGAATCCGTTAACGTCTCAGACTTCTATGTTCTGAAAATAATCGCATTTGTATCTTTACGTTTAGAGGATTGTTTGTAAAACACTACTATTCTGACATATTTAGCGATTTCAGTTCCCCTAACAAAGTGTCAAGAGTGCATTTTCAAAACCGCCGAGAAAACACACGTTCTTTGAATTATGAGAAGGAAAATCCAACAGATATTGAGCAGTAAAACGGTGAAGTTATTCCTTATATTTCGCGATCATAATGCATTTAACAACAAAATATATTATATTTCTTTGCGTTAATAAGCATGAGTGGAAAGATAGTTAAAGCCAATGGGCGTTTTAAACTTATTTGTGAGGCGAATAAAAAATAGTCTGACGAGTCAAATTTTTATATTAGCGACGAGGCAAATTACAAATATGAGTGAAATTTTCAAAACTCAATGGAGTGAGTGCGCGTGCGATATGGCAATGTAAATGCCCATTTCTAGTTCTCAGCACACAAACTGCACACAAACCACTGACATCTGTATAACTCTGTAGTGAACACTAACTGTCAACAATAAGCAACCTTTGTGGCTTTATAGAAGTTCAGTATGCATAGGTTTTATTGTAATACAAAAACATTTCTTTAATTCCCAAAAATTATTCAGCGACTCGCATAAGAATGATTTGCGTCAAATGTAAGGATTCCAAAATAATCTTGGAAGTTCGAATTTTGAGTTCGGTCATGCTCATCTGGATTTGGATTCATTTGGATGGTACACAAAATGGGTTACAAAATGGGCCTTTACGGGTATCGCTGATACATTCATTAAAGAGATCGGGTCTCCTAAAAACACAATTAGAGTAACCCCCTGATTTTTTCGTGTTATTTGATGTGAAACAAGTTTGTTTATCAACTTATCAATTCTGAGGGTTGAATTAATTCGTTAACAGTATCAATTCGATGATTGTTCCTAGCCATGAATTTCCACTTACATCAATAGAAATTCAAATTCAAATTTAAAAAGCCCGCTCAAATTTGTTCCAGTCTATGGCTTTTTCCTTCAGATTATTTTGGCTTAGAAAGGCATATTTATTACTTCTAAGGGGTTACAATATAGATAAATACCCAAAAAACATTGTATTCTGTTTTCGACTTATTGCGTTCAATTCTGACAGTTGGTTGTTCTTTTGGTTGTTCTGTTGATATCCTCAATATATTGTCTATATCGTGCTTATGATTTGTTCTCAAGATATATCTAAGGTATATATGATGATTTATGGGCAATTATATTGCATGGGACATTGCTGATTGTCCAGAAGAGAAATCTGGACGACCCGATCTCTTTAGAAACTTATTCCTCAGGAAACACCGGCACAACCATTGCGAAACCGATACCCTCAATATTCATTGAGAAACTGGTATATACAATAAGGCGTTAACTGATAAGGATTGAAGGAGCAACTACATGTAGTTCATTCTTGGAGAAACTGATACACTCAAGTACACTCAATGAAAGGTTAACTGGTACACTAATTGAAGGAGTCACTGGTTTATTTATTGAGAAACTGGTATGTTAACTGGTAAAGACATTGGGTGATCTGATCCACTGGTTCAATGAGCGGTTAACTGGTAAACTCATTGAAGGGTCCTCTGGTTTATTAAAGAGAAACTGGCACACTTAATGAGAAATATGTACACTCAATGGCGTATCACTCACGACTAGTACACTCAATGAGGTATCATGACTAGTACACTCAATGAGGTATCACGACTAGTAATACACATAATTCAGTTCACTTGAACATGTTGAACACACATCAGGGGGGTCAATGTTACATCCATTGAGGAGTATCTTATACTCCTTCAGGAGGCATGAGGAGACAATGATTACCTTGAGGAAGTGGTACAATCATTGAGGAGCTACTGGTACACCCATTTAGGGGTCACTGGTTCATTCATGGAGTCATTTGTATAATTCTTGGGATGGATATTGGTACATTCATGGAGGTTGTTACTGGTAATAAAATAATAACAAAAGAATAACTATAGGAAAATAAATTAATCTGTATTTAATAATATGTGCCTTTGATCATAGTATTTACAATCTCTGTCTCTTATGTGACATCTTTAACAGCAACAGAATAAATATTAACTAAAATCAATATATATTATTTACACATACTGGAAAAACTGTGCAATGGGAGAAGTAGAATGCACCCAGCTAGAGATATGAGCGAAGGTTTACAAGACTCGACTTTATTTTGCAAAGGCTTATTTAATAGGTTAATCAAAGCCATAAAAGGTCAAATCTGAAATGTATGTTAAATTAGGTACTGGTAGTAGTTGATTATAAGAGAAGGGTTATGAGAGTACTGAATTTGATGGTCAATTTCAAGGTAGAGGTCAATTCAAATGATTGATTTTTAAAATTGAACTTTTTTCCTTTCGAGAGTCACTGAAGTTTAAAAACAAGCATTTACTGTAAGTTGCTTTAATTTGGCGCTATTTAATTTGGCAAATTTGGCAGGATTGGGGAAATTTTGGCTGTTATTTAATTTGGCGGATTTACCCATTGGTAAAATGCAGATATTAGAGGGTTCTTACAAAGATGCAAATAATGCTCCCGTATTTCAAAAGAATAATCAGCAGTTGATCTAGATCTTCGAAAATATGGACATTTTAGTTGGGTATTTTCGAAATGTTTTTATCCTGCAAGGGAATCCCCGAGGATTTATTAAAAAAAATTAGCGGAGACTTAATTTGATGGTTGTCATCAATCCACCAAATTAAAATGGCCGTGAAATTAAAGCCACTTACAGTAATCTTGCATCAAGACCTTGAGCCCATTTCTCCCTCAAACACTTGGCTTCAAATGACAGTATGGGGACAAGCTTGTTTAACACTGTCAATAATAAAAAAACATGTACTTGGAGAGAATATATTTCCTCTTTTTGCAAATCCAGTAGTGTAAGCCAGAACTTTTAAAGATTGCATTGAAGTACAAATGTTAAGTACTAAATCTAACTGGGAATCTACATATTCAAGGGCACCTTTACTAGTAGTGCAATTGAATGGCCTCCAAATAAGCAATAGGCATTTGTAGTATGTCTACACAGATTATTCAATGGATTAACAGGTTAGGCTATATGGATAATATAGATAATGGAATAAATTCCGAGTATATAAATATTGCACATTTTTATGATATTATTATATAATTTAACTACTTTATGTGGATGTACCACTGCTAGAATCTAGTTGTTCTACATCAATAAGGATAGTGACCATTTAAAAACAGTTTTGCAAGAATGATGTTTGTTAGAGAAAGGGGGTAAACCACTACAAAATTATTTAATTCCTCCACAACCGTTGACACTTTTCCTAAATGATTCACCATCTCTCTTCCTCTCAGTCAAGTTCATCAATACATGTAGCATGTTACAATCAACAGCCACTCTCATACAAAAATACAAGCTCAATTTAAATATTTTGCTCAAATACATTCAGACATTTTCATGTATATAGACAAGACAGCTTAACATTTCAAGTGAATTAGAAAGGATAAAGGAATCAGCCAATGTTCTGTTTTTAAATTGAGATGTCTGATTTTATAGGACTATAAAAGTACATGTACTTGTATATTCAAAATTCACAAATCTAAAAATTCATGAGATTGGAAAAAAGGGGACCGATAACCTTAAAAAAATCAAGCATTACCCTGACATAAACTCAGAACTGGTTATAATAATGCATGTTATAGCATGATGAGAACAAATACTATTGTAAAATTGTGGCATTTTTCAGAAACCTAATCTTAATTCTTCATCTTAATCCTTTTAATTAGATGCTTATTATAGCAAACTAGAGCTTGAGTAAAAGATATTACTTTTTTTAAATATAAGTCTAGTCTTGCTTCAAGACACTGGACTATCTACTCTTAACAACTGGCGTCACAAGGGCTTGTTGCTAGACTAAAAATAGTCTTGCATCTAGTTCCTCACAATTTATCCCATAGTTGAGGTCAAATTTGTACATGTATGAAACATATAAATATGTTTATGATATTTTGCAAATGCATGGAAAAAAGCAATATCTATGGAATAGAGAAAATTCCACAGATATCACTTTTTTCCACAGATTTCAATCTGCCAAGGTGACGTGTTTTGTAAAGTGGTGATCTCATGACATCACATGATAAATGAATGAAAGAATGTTGTTTTGAAATGCTTGGTTTAGTTTTATAGGTGAACTATGGGATTAATAGAACACCCTATAAATTTTCATGATATCATTTTAATCCACTCATTGATATCAATATCTGCACTCACTCACTAAGCTCACTCATTCTGATATCAATATCATCTCGTGGATGAAAATAATATCACTCAAAATCATCAATATCTATTTCTAATGTAAAGAGAATGGGTTATTTGAAGTTATAATACTTTGGATGGAGTTGAACGTTTTAATGAGATATATCAAATATACAGATATATGCAGTAAAATGGTAACCTTTTAAGTTTTGGCTTAACATTTTAAACTACTTGGACAATAATAAATGTACAGCAGATTAGTTAATGAAAACACAGAATGAAATACATAGATGGTTCACTGCCCACAAGTTTTACTGTATACTAGCATACCAGATTACATATCATCGTGTTCAACTATGATAGTTTTGCCATCATCTGGAACTGAAATCTGTGGGTTCTTTCCATTGATTGCACTACCAGAGCCAGACCCCCTCTCCATGCAAGACCACAGATACTCATCAAGTGTATCATCAGTTATACGAGCTATAAATCGTATAAATGGTCTTACATCACCAGCATTTGCAGTCTCGAGATATTCATAATATAGATGCTTTTCTTCGACTTTTATAATGATTGGCGGGTAGCCTGCTTGCATTAGGATAAGGTTCATGAGTAACCGGGATGTTCGGCCATTTCCATCATAGAAAGGGTGAATGAAGACTAGTTTATAATGAGCTAGGGCAGCTAATTCTATGGGATGAAGGTCTAGTGCCGCTCTAGAGTTAAGCCACTCTATAAACTCTTCCATATAAAATATCACTTCATCTGCTTGAGGGGGAACATGGTTGCCCACAAAAACTTGAGAACTCCTGAAACGTCCTGCTTCGACAGGATCCACAAACCCTAAAACACGTTTGTGAATCTCTAGAATATCCTCAATTGTAATAGAACCTATTCTGTGTACTAAAGAGTTATTGACAAAACTTAAAGCAGCATCTAAACCAATAATTTCATTATGTTCCATGATTGATTTCCCTCCAATAGCCATTCTGTTTTCTATGATAGAGCGTGTTTGGGCAAGCGTCATAGTATTTCCCTCTAAAGCTGTAGTATGGTGAACATGTTTAAAATAGTTCTCTTTTTTAGTTCGTCTTAATCCAGCATCATTCTCTGGTACTTTGTAAAGTTGATCACGCTTTTTATCGATCATATTAAACCTCATTTGATCTATCTCCTCCACCAGAGGTAACGTTCGCTCTCTGTTGGTCAAAGCTTTTGAATGACTAGGACTGACCATTAAGGCTTTTGTGTACATGTGCTCAGCAAGTACAATGTCTTCCACCTGTTTCTCTAGAAATTCCCCATACATGTTCAGTATATCTGCATGTTGAGGATCAAGGCGAAGTGCATGTTCAAACAGTTTTATAGCTTTATCATGTTTTCCTTGGGAGTCCATCTCTCTTGCTTGGTTGAGACAATTTAGAGCTTCAGTTTTCAGTTCTGAAAATAAATGTAGTTATTTTAGGTACTTTTAGCAGCATACATGTTGTAGCCCCATTGGTGTAATCAATGACTACATTCCATAATACAACAAAAGGCAATCCCTCATTCAAGCACAATACATGTACATGAAAATCAAAATGTACGTGAAGGCATGGACTTTCAATTAGAGTTGAAAGCCCATGGTGAAGGGGTGTGGCCCACATTAACATTGCTCTCTGGGATTCCAAATGGTTTTTTGAATTGAAGTGATTTTACAGAGTTTCCAGGCAAAGCCCACAAAAACATGAACAAGCCATGTTCGATGGACAACAATATGTATATTCTGCCTCAAATAAAGACTTGAACAGTTGATGCATGGATTCCTGCAAGATAATTTTAATTGTAGTAATGTTAAATAAAATTCACAAATGCCAATTTTGCAGCTAATTATAAAAAATATATATGACATTCCTCATATGACATTCAACTTATTATTCTATTCCTTCCTGAATCCTACATTGATACCGTTGATAACATATATACAGCAGTGTTTTATTTAGCGTTACGATGGGCTCATGAGCCCTTGACGTTACCAAATGGTCAGAAAATTTAAACTGCAAACTCATAAATGAAAAGAAAAACAATAAATCATTAAGGATCGTCTCAGAGAACCCCCCTATTACTCTACTACTACTTTTTTCATGGCCTGACTTCGTCGCTAACATGCTAAATGTAAGAGTTAGCTGACGTTTGGAAGTCTGACTTACCTTCTAAAGGTTAGAACCCGGATCTTAATGAAACCATATCACCTTTGTTGCGTCGATGATGATGCATAAACATAGCATTTGATAGAAATTAGTGTAAATGCTTTTCCGACTTTTTCATTTTTCATCAATGTTGACTTCCGGGAAGGCGTTGTAGTTATCACGAAATAACGCATTGACCCTTGAACTTTACTTTGTTGACATGTCAACCAAGCATGTCTGGTGTGAAAATTAAAAGAATATTAAGCAATGTTCTACATCCGCCAAGCTAAGTGAAGTAGTCAATATTTAAAATTACCAATTTCAAGTGAAGTACGCAACGAACGAAACTGCGTGATCTACACTCCCACTATTGGTCTGAATGAAATGCTACGTAGAAATATGAGCCGTCTGCTGTATTAGTCGATTAATAGAATAAGACCTGTTGGTGATGCTTTATAATTTAGACCAAAACATTGAAGAACAAACGAACCTGTAAATCGTGAAAACAACGAACAAATATTCGGTTTTCACATATGTTCGGTAATTTTTCGTATTGAAACTTCCGGAACTAACAAGGAAATCATTCATTTTCTCGGTCCATGATTTACCTCTTGGATGTTGTGGCAAATGCTCCATGGTTGACGGAACAAAGGCAGGCCCGTAGCCAGGGGGGGGTTCGCAGGGTTCGGACGAACCCCCCCCTGGCCAAAAATTCTTTCAAAATCATGCAGTTTTTCACCATTTTGAGCACTTCTCAAGTGATTTTAGCCATATTTGGGCCAATATTGTCAAATGTGAACCCCCCCTGGAAATTTTTGAAAAATGAACCCCCCCCCCTTGGCAAATCCTGGCTACGGGCC